AGATTTTTGAACATTCTTTATAATATGTAGCAATTATAGAAAAGCATTGTATCAGATTTGCTAGTAAGTACGAGTGTCAATGCCTTTATATTTTCCTAATCCTATTTTATGTAATTACAGATTATACAAATACACAGTTCAAAAAGATGTTTAATTTTTCTTAGTTATGATTCCATATTTCACATGAAAAATTTCTGCAAGGCTACTGCAGTCATAGAAAAGGAAAAGATGTTCCAGGAAGTCCTGTCTGTTCCTTAGGAAGTTTGTTGTATAAATCCTACTAATATCTTGCTATGAATGATACTGAATGACAGCAAATCTCTAGATTACAGATCTAGTGCATTTAAAAAGACTCCTTGGATAAAATGTAAATATTTGTTCTACTTACTTTTTAAATTGAGGATTGTTTGTTTGTTTTTTCAGCAGAATTGCAGCATAGGAATGTCCAATTTGTTCAGTTTATTTATTGGGCCACTGCCTTATTTTATGTGCCTGTAAACTTTAATTGTTTGTATTGATTTGGTATTTTTTTATATTTTAATCGTTGTCTCTATTTGAAGTCTGCTTTTATAACATAAATATTTTTGTAAGTTCTTAGTCAGAAGTTCCAATGTGCCAAATATATGAATATGGTACAAGGACAACATATTTCATTTAAATTATGTTGCTTGAAGTTTAAGAAAATGTCGTCAATGACTTGAAATCCATTTCAGTTCAACATTAATCTAAAAGCATTGTCATGTTATGAGTGGCACTAATTAATTTATTTAATTTCATAGCCAGAATGGCTTTCATATAGGCAATATAATTTGGGTTGATAAAGGTGTCACTATCTCAGGGCATGAGAACTGATGGCCTTGTTCTCTCTCTTCCGTTTCTCTTTGTTAGAAGTTCTTGAGGTTTCAAGGCAGGAGTTCCCAAGTTTAATTTGTTTGGATGGTGTACCCTTAGCTCCAAAGGAGTCACCAGACAAAAGCTTTCAGTTTTTTTGGGAAGGTAGAAGAGGCAGGCTCTGTTTTGGTGCCCTTTCAAACACTACTGTAAATGTGCTAAAAAGAATTGTTTTATACTTCAGATGGGAATCACATTTTCCTTGAAAAGTAGAGGAAGTGTCATACTTAAAATGGAGGTAGCTAGCAGTGATATGTATTATTTATGCATTTATAAACAGTAACTACTGCATCATAAACTTATACAGTGTAAATGGTCTTGTGCGCTATTGTGAGATGAACATTAAATATTCACTTTTTATGTTAATACAAGTTTTCAGCTGTATTTCCTACCAGTTTAGGATAATTTACATCTCCATTTATTTGGGCATTAGACAAATTTACCATAGTCCAGTGGTTTGAGCACTCACAGCAGAGTTAGGAAAACTAAATTCAAGTTACTTTTCAAGGAGTATGTAATTATGGTGTAGTAGAGCAGCGTGAAAATATGCATTTTTCAGACAAACACCTACCTGTGTGACAAATAATGGAGTTTTTCATCAGTTTCATCTCCTAAATGAGGAAGCACACAGGCTCTCAATCTAATTGATTACGATCAAAGGAGGTAGTAAATCTTGCAAATCTGTGTTAAATGCATGCAACTTTGTTTTATTTGAGCAAATGGATTGTCTGCCTCATTATGCTGATGAGGGTCTTCACGCTTCTGTGGAGTTGTTTCTGATATTGTCTGGTGTAAGTTTACCATGCCATCCCAGTATGATTTCCCCTGGGGAACTAAGCTCAAGTAAGCATTGGGCAGCCAGGTGCTGCATCATTAACAGTGTCATGAAACTCCGTTGTAGAAATTGGCTTTTAATTTATCAGTGGAAACTCGGGAAACCTGAAGTTATATTTATGCCAGGTCTTCTTTGGAGGTCCTGACAGGTGTCAGTACTTTTCAGGAAGAAATCCCTGCAAGTTCATGAGACACGTGGTTGACATCCTTTATCATTTCACATTCCCAGGTTTTCTGGCCACACAGTTGTTTCACTTTGGTGTTGAGGAAGTGTGTTTGGACCTATATATGGTTTTGGAGGCTTGAACATAATGTTAAAATTTTGAATTTCTCTATTTGTTTTTGTTGAAAACGCAGTAAATATCGATAAAGATCAGAAGCTTGTCTTGAGTCAGAATTTTCCAAGAAATTACACTTTTGTTTGAAATTCACCTTTGTTTCTTCTGGTTTTCTTTAAAGGGTGGTTGACCTTCTGATGTATGGTTAGAACTGTAAGATTGCCAGCAATATGGCTCTTTCAGAAAGAGAAGTTAGATAGGTTTAAATTGAAAAGCTTTATTGAAGTAGTTGCTTTCAAATCCTGTACTCCTATAACCCAGTAACTTGAGAGTCAAAGAACAAAACAAAACCAAAAAACAACACTCAGACTGCCATTAAAAGTGCTTTTCAGACACCATTAATTTTTGAAATATGTCCTGTAGGTGCTGACTCTGCAAGTAGTTTGTGATAATCAGATTTTAAAGTTGTGGATCTCCTACCAGCTGATGTTTGTTCTGTGACCTTTGGTTCCAGGTCCTGGTAGGAACGTGGTGCATATTTCTACTAAGAGTGAAACTCCAATGGTCTTAACAAATAACAGCAGTACTCATTGTGTTTAACAGTGCTGGAAATTAGTTTCTCAGGCACTGATCTTGATAGGTCAGCTGTCACAAATTGGTATACATATCTGTAAATGCATTGGTGCCATAAATAAAATTCTGTCTGCAATAAGTGGAAGCACAAATTGGCACACTTCTAAGCAAGTGAAATGTTCTGAAGCACAAAGATATTAAGGGGAAAAATCCCTAATGGAAAAGGATTTCCTCATGTTCCATCTATCAAATTTATCTGCATCATTTGCCTTTTAGAGACTGAAAAAATTGTTTTTCTATACAGAACACCATGGAGTTCTGTGCTGATATGCTGTGAAATATTCTTCTCTTCCTTGCCCCTACCTCTACTGCATAAAAAGAGAAAACTTTGGTTTTGAATGAAAGGAAAAGACTGACAGTCTTGCAATAGTGTGCTTTCCGGATCCTTTTAAGAATTCTTATTTTTAATACAAAATGCAAAATATGGGGTATTCAAATAGTTTGACCTGATATGAAGTGAAATACAGTTTATGAAGGGGAAAGGAACAAGAGAAGTTAATGTCAGTCCACTTGTGCCAAAGTACTCAATTTATTTTGTTTTCCATTCTTGAATAAGTAGTGGTTGTCTGTAGACTGTGTAAGCCATTTTTGCTGAAACTTTCCCTGTATGTTCACCATATGTCTATTGTATAGAACAGTCCAAGAAAGCTTAGATAGTGCAACATTCTTTGATGATTTGAGAGAGCATTTTTTACCACATGCACTTAGATTGGTCTTTGTTGAACCATACTGATTCTTTGCAGTTGACAAATGGGTTAATTTTGCGTAGCAATAGAAAAAGCTAAGAAACACGTGAGGTCAAATTTCAGAGCAAGCATCTGAATTTGAATTTAAGAGATATGATGGCTATAGGTATCTACCCATATTGCTGGGTATTCATTATAACTCCAAACTTACATCATAGGGAGAGTTTTCAATCTGCGATACCTCAGCTTTCAGGAGTGTCATTACGAAGCTTATTATTAGTCATTTATTCACCTCTTCTATCCCTCAGGTCAGCTGGGTAAAAGGAGGTATGGCTTTAGTTCTTTTCTTACCTGTGTCTCAACTGGAAGATTTAGAGACTATAGAGAAATTGTATAATAAATTATAATAAATCTACCTCTGTGATAGACATGATAGCTGAGTCATCACTGATTGTCCTGTTCTTTTCTAGTTCCCTGTTTATCAGTTTAGTGCAACAAAACAAAAAGAAAACTATACAGATCTCTCCTATCACAATGTATTTGTTGGCTTGACTTTTGAGGCTTTAGGATATGACTAAAGTCATAGAAATAAATCATGTAGGACATCTAGCCATAGGCATTTTCAGCAAAATAAGTTCTTTCCAAGTAGATTTTGACTTGCTACATGAAAATTAGCTTCTGGCAGGAAGAAGGCACATTTCACATATCTTGGACTAAGTTAAATATCTACAGGGCATGCCTTCAGCTAACAGCACTGCCTCCTATGTGAACGTAGTATTGGTGTTTAAGAGTACAGCTGGATTTAAGAGTACCGTGGATTCTTTTTTGAAATAAAAGGAGTGTCTGATTTCTGCTGCCACTGAAGAGCGTATGCAGTTGAATAATGCAAGGGTCACTTAAGATTGACTTTTCTATTGAACTTCTTTCCAGAAAGAGCACTAAAATTGATTTTGAAGTGCTAAATTTAATTGAAAAATAAAATATTTACGTGTAATGTTCTATGGAGGTATCATGAAAATACATATCTTGCATCTAGCAAATGCATATAGTGCTCATAGAGGTTATCAGATATTTGATAATGGGAGCTTGAGAACTTGAGAGGCTGTCATTGTTTTACTGATGAGGTAGAAGTAGGGCAAGAAGAGAGAAAATAGGACTTAATATAGAATTTGAAGACAGCCCAAGATAGAAGGCATTTTGCCTCCACAGAATCTGTGTCAAGATTTTATAACCACCAGTGAGCAAGAACGTCATGCAGCAGGAAAAGAGGTTGGTCTTTGATAAACTCTAGAGAATGATTTAAAAAGTAGGGAGGGATCTGATCTGAGAGAGGAGTATGGGATAATGAGACTGTAGAGATAATCCTAAGGACTGTCAGGCAATATAAACTTACTATTGAGGGAAAAGACATATCACAGTAATCTAGATTAGGTAATATGACAAGTACTGCAGATAATAAAGCAGTTTTATTACAGACATTGATGGAAATACATTCACACAAAGGATTAGTTTCTGTCCTCTGAATCTCACCGTTTCTGATTCTGTGTTTAAAAAACTCACTTCTCTTATCCTGTGTATGTTAGTTCTGGATTCGATCAAGCGGCTGTTAAATGTTTATGTAAGTACTGAAGGATTTCTGCCTACCAGTGTTTCAGACTCCTGCACTTTCTTCTTCTAGTTGGCAACGTGGGACTCTGAAAAGGGACTGAATGGTAGCCTGCAAGAACGACGTCTGGGAAGTGATTTACAAGGACTGACGCTCAAAGTGGTGACTGTCTTGGTATGATCCTATTTGAGTTCAGGAAACAAAATGCTCAAAATAAAAAGGTTGTGACTGAGTATTCTGGGCAATTCCTTCAGTATTTTTCCCTATCATTTTCAATTTTGTATTTTTGGATGATCAGTTACATAAGCAAGGAACATAGATGATGGCCTTATGTTATTTTATGTGAATCTGTGCACTGTCAGAGATGTACAGTGTTGGTTTGTTTGCTTATGCTGTTTTTCTGCATTGAAAATCATACTGCACACAGAACCAGCACAAGACCTGAGTACTCAGGGCTACGCTTCAGATATGCAGTTTCCAGCATTTCATGGATTTTTGAGATCAGATGGGCCAATTACAATAATCTAATCTTGGCTTTTGTGTGCTGCAGGCTATAAAATTTAATTGAGTGTTTCTTCCATCAAATTCATAACTTCTTGTTGATAAACTATGTCTTTGAAAAAGACATAGACTGTGTGCTTTTGGGACTATTGTTTGTTACTATCCTGAGTGGTGGCAGAGCTCCTATTAGTTGAATGCTAAATTAAGGACAAATTAAGACAAGAATGCATTCCTGTCTAAAATACTGTAGTTCCAGATTGAAGAATAGCATCTTTGTGATTTTGTTTTTCTTCTTTTGAATCATGGTACAAATAGGAAGTAATGTGCAAGATCATTAAAGGAATCAACCCAGCTTTCTTTCCTCAGTCAGATGATAGGCAAGGGTATGGTATAACATGCATAGGAGGTTGTCAGTACCACACCACAAATGTGGACAACTGCAGAGGATATGCAGCCAACAGCCTCAGCATTGCCTCTCAGGAGAGCAGGTTCCCATTTCTGACAGAAAGCGTACCAAAAACTGCCCCATTCCTTGGTCTCAAAATATACTTCAGTATAAAATATGCCAGCAAACAGCACCTCTGAAAGATATTCCTAGAATTTTCAAAATCTGAAATATTTAAAAAACCCAACAATATTAGTATCTGCTTCACTGTCTCCTGGATAAAAGATTAATCATTGTCTATCAAAGATGACTTTCTAAATCTGATATGATCTGAGTTGGAGAGCTGTAATGTTCCTAAGACTCATATGCTTAATACTTGTTTTCTAGGCTTTCTAGTTAGTTGAAACATTAGTGAAGAGACAGATATTCCAGAGAGCAATTCATCCTGCAGATGCCAGGAGGAAGTTAAGTTATCCTCTGGGGTCTCTGCCTCTTCTCGTGAACTGTGTAAAATCAAGGACCGTGGATGCGGCAGCTGCTGAAGCACTGGCGTCTGGTAGGGATGCCTGTGAGCGTTCCACCCGGCCTACAGATTTTGCCTCCGGATGTTCTGAGAAATCTGAAATCTGTGCTAAGTTGTCCAGAATAAACTCAGAATACACCGATTTTGCTAAAAATGTAAACTAAAATAATTGTTTCAAGTATCAGCTGAGACAGTGCTTTGTTCTCAGGAAGAACCTTTTGTGATGGTGGCGGAGAACATACTTGGGCAACCAAAACGGTACAAAGGATTTTCCATTGATGTCCTGGATGCACTGGCCAAGAATCTGGGCTTCAAATATGAGATATATCAAGCTCCTGATGGGAAATATGGACACCAGCTTCAGAATGGCTCCTGGAATGGCATGATTGGAGAACTTATTAACAAGGTACATAGAGAAGAAGCTATATTTGGGGGAAAAATAGAAAAAAAACAACTCTTCAGAGTAAGATGTCAAGACTCTGAAAAGGGATTGCTGAAATTCTCCCCTTTCTCCATTGCAAATTACAGGAGATGAAATTGGAATCAAAGAGCTAGTACAGAACACTTCTGAGTTTTGGGTGGTTTGACTGTGGTCTAAACTGTGTATTTTAAAACTATACTAACTGTAGAGTCTGTTGTTCTATTTACCCCCAACTATTATCAATGTACGTTATATAAATGTAAGTCTGTTTCTATAGATGCCAGTATAAAAAGAAAGGGAATGTCTGTGTGTGTGAATGAATGAGTATGGAAAGTACGTATTCTTAACATATGAATTAACTTTTTTTTTTTGTCATTACATATTTGCTACATTGCTTGTAAGTATGACTTTCTTTGTGTCACTTTATGGCAGTGTGTTTCATAATGATCAACTGTTTGACTCCAAAGCAGGAAAAGTATCCCAAATAATATATGCTGTAAATAATTTTTTTGAAGGACTAGAATTCAAACCTGAGTTTAAGATTATTCATTTATTTAAAATAAAGGGGAAAATATTTTCTTATTTAATTCAAGCCTTACAAATGAAGAATAAATGAATTAAACTTCATTAAGTAAGTGGGAAAAGTCCAGAGGGTGAAATTAGAATGTATTTTGTTCGTGTTCTCACCGTCTAACACATGACAAATGCTAATCAAGAAAAAGAATCAAAGGAGTTAATATTCTATGTTACTGCCCTTCATAGAAAAGGTTAATCTTCTGCAGTAGAGCTTTACTGGAAGTAAAAGCTTTCTCGTTATCTAGTAAGTAGGCATCTCAGTATCTGGTAAGTAGATGTTTAGGAAAAAATAGAAGCAATTAAAGCACTATCAAATGTGTGTGTGATAATGGAATAATCTTGGTGGCAGCTAGGAAAAGTAAAGGATTTTGTACTTATTTTGCATTGACATACGGTATTTGACTTTCAGTCTAGTAAGAAATGCTGTGAAAATTCTTCAAAAATTGCGTGCTGTGAGGTAACAGTATTTGTAGTGGTATTTCTGCTACTAGCTTTTCCACCAGCACAAAAGGCGAACTCTTAACCTAATATTTACTCTACTTTCCTAACATAACACAGAGATAGGAAACGAAAAGTATGTTTTATTTTTTTGTGGAGAACTGTTTTGAGATGAAAAAATAGGCAGAATCTAATCACGACTCTTAAAAGCTTTGGGGATCTTATTTATTAAACACTTCTCTTTCATTGAGTTTGCATAATCTTAAAGGTCCTTCTGTATATAAATCCTGCTCATTTTAAATATTGAGCAGGAGCTGAGTTGCTTTTGGGGCATTCTTACAGTTATTAATTTTTGCAAGCACTTTATTCGTTGTAAAAAAACAATGGTATCTTCCCCCCAGATGTCATATGAAATCCCTTCATGAATATGGGAAGTTGCCAATTCTGCAGGGATAACAATGAACAGTAGCTCTTCACAACTTGCTACCAGGTGCACAAGCTAAATAAATTTTGTATGGAGGAGTAAGGAATTTTTTAAAGTAATCTTGTGATGATAACAGAGTAAAAGAAGCATTGATACAACTGTGAGTTCTATGTGGATGATGTTTCATTTTTACTTCTTGCAGTGCACTGAGTTAATATGGTTTCAAGTTTTAGACATTGTTTTGAAAACGAGTGAGACATAAAGGTTAAATAAATGGTGCACATTCCAGACACTTCTTGTTCTGCAGTGCTTTGGCAATTTAGATTTCACTTTTCTGCTTTAAACCAATGCAGTTAACATTTGAATGATGAAACTGATCTATTGCAATTTGCCTTAAAATGTTAGGTTTTAGAAGTGCATGGAGCCACTTGCTTTTTGAAAAACTCCTGAAGGAATGCTAGCAGAATTCATGAAGGAGATCTGACTTGTTGCCTTTGTCTCATAGAGAGCAGATCTAGCAATTTCTGCCATCACTATAACACCTGAACGAGAGAGCGTTGTGGACTTCAGCAAGCGGTACATGGACTATTCAGTGGGGATCTTGATCAAGAAGCCTGAAGAGAAAATCAACATCTTCTCTCTCTTCGCTCCTTTTGACTTTGCGGTGTGGGCTTGCATTGCTGCTGCCATCCCTATAGTTGGTGTCTTGATATTTGTCTTGAACCGGATCCAGGCAGTCAGGGCACAGAATGCCTCCCAGCCAAGCCCCTCTGCCTCCTCCACCCTGCACAGTGCCATCTGGGTTGTGTATGGCGCTTTTGTTCAGCAAGGTACTCAGTCTGATAGATCCTCAGAAGTGTTCTGGCTGGATAGAGCATTTCATGACGTGTTTGTCTTGACCAGCATGTTCTCAAGACGAAAGAGAAGTTTTATATGAGGAGGTAGTATGTTTTATTAGCTGAGATAATGGGAGAATAGTTGAGCTTTAGGATGTGTGTTCTGTTTCTCTCTTTCTCAGAAAGTCTGATAAAACCATTCCCAACAGACTTTTCCACTTTGTGAAAATGATTATTTGGTGAATAAACCACAGAGCTGCTTGATGTGACGTTACAGTATCACTCAGCAACTAGCAGATTTTCTAATGATTTAAATCTGATTTTAGAAATTTATATGTTTTTGAACTCATGTGAGACAGTTTATCTTTCTGTCGTTTAAAACCAATAGAAAGATGTTTCTAATCATTTAATTTCTGCATATTAGTAGTACTTCAGCATAAAACCTTACTTATGTAGAATATTATTCATGTTCTCTAGATTTGATCCTGAATAATGCCTGAGGGAAACATTTTGAAATACCATTTTCTAGAAGAGTATCCAGGGCAAAAGGTTGAGTGTCAGTCTTAGTGGAAGTAGCGCTTAGCTCACAGGAAAAGGGTGGTCTGCAAGCACAAATGCACAGGGGTTACTCCAACAAAGTTGAACAAGTAGGACATACAGGTAGAAGCTCCTGATGCACCTTTATTTTCCTTGTTTGCTTTCAGGGGGTGAATCTACTGTCAATTCTGTGGCTATGCGCATTGTGATGGGAAGCTGGTGGCTCTTCACCCTTATCGTGTGCTCATCCTACACAGCAAACTTAGCAGCATTTCTCACAGTATCAAGGATGGATAATCCTATAAGGTAAGAGCATCTTCTTAACGTGAAGCTAGAAACCTGGATTTCACAGAAGTGTATTATCCATTTGAGCACTCATTCTTGCAAGAAGGAGATAGCTCTCTAATAAAATAATAGTCTTCGTATTTTTGGTGACTTCTTCTCTCTTCTACCCTCCCTGCTCTTCACTGACTCCTACATCCCCCAAGTAGTTTTGTAAGATGAACGGAAGGGACAGTGGCATTTTAATTCTGTATTTTTAAAGAAGAAAGCTTTTCATGTTTATTTGCATTTTTCTCAACTGAAGGTCTTAATGCTTCAGCTATCTACTTTTCTTATTTTTTCAGAAGGAAACTACTACCTCTAGGGAAATATGTATTATTTCACTTCTCATCTTCGGTGTATAATTTTATATTCTTAATACTTGGATATATATTGTTCTTTATGCCATTATTTGCATGTAAGATAATATAGGAGGACTTTTAAAATATAAATGACCCTGTTCAGTGGCATTATTTTCAGAAGAGGCTTCTTCTCACAGAGGGTAAGATAACCAAATCTGACTCGAGGATAATAGATGTAATGTAGCAGTTGTTATATTGAATTTATATATTATTCTCTGTATTTGTGTTGGCAATATTATGATGGTAAATTACAGCTTCTGTAACAAACCCAATTTATCTTGCCCTTTGACTTCTTTCCTCTGCCATCTGCCTACTAATCTATATCCTGTGAGAATATTTTCAGGCCTCTGAGCAGCTCCTGAGAGCTGCTGGCTGTTGACATTTTTTCTTTGTTTGTCTGTTTGTTTTTCTTTAAAAATGTAACAATTAAAGAAAATTTCCCTTTTTTTCTTTCAACATGGACAAAATTTTTAGCTTCACACCGGCATGGAGCACTGAGAGGGCCATTTATTGTCCTCTTTCACTGCTGACAGGATTAGAGGCTGGTATCTCATGTTTGATCTGACAGCAATCAAGAGGAGAGGTGTCTAGAAGACAGGCATTGCAACACAGGCTCTCTTAGAATATGCTGATGCAAAGATTTTAGGTGCTACTGATTGACACGGTTACTATGTCAATCTCATTTGTGGTTTCAGTGGCAAACCTGAGACTGGAATCTTTGTGCACAGCACCTAAACAGTAAGTTGTGCTGTTGGCGCTCAAATGAGGATAGCTCGTAAAAAAAGCTTTAGCTTCTTTATCCTGCATGGGACAGAAAAAAACTACTTTTCTTATGAGTGTCATGGTATTTCCATTTTAACTTGCCATTGCAAACATGCAAAAACTGTAATGCTTTGTATAGATATAGTGTTGTGACAATAATATGAACAATAATATGAACCCCAATGGGGGTTGGACTCGATGATCTCTGGAGGTCCCTTCCAACCCCTACGATTCTGTGATTCTGTGAACTCAAAATCATAAAAGTTTTGTTTTAAAATGAATTTTCTATTATTTTGTCTAGAATTAGTAGATTTAAACAGTAAAAGGAATAAGATCTGCATGCAATTTCTGGAAATAACAGGAGAAACTAAAGAGAATAAAACTAATACTGCAGAGTATCTTTGCTGTAAGACCTCATCCTAGGAGGATGGAGGACTAAGGTTAAGCCCAATGAATAAATTGCTCTTGTAACCCAGAACAGAAATAGTTCTCTGGAAAGCTTGAACAATGACCTTCAAATGATTTCTGTAAGTTCTATTTCCTTCATGATAGGAGAAATTGTCTGTTAGGTTTACTGAGCACCTGCCAAAACTCAGCAAATTTCAGAGTGGGGAAAATGTGGGATAAAATGCAGTGGAGAATCTGCAAGAAAAACAAAACAAAACAAAAAAACAACAACAAAAAAAAACCCGCCAAACATATTTATGAGCTGGAATGCAAATCATTAGATGAGGCATTTGAGGCTGATCTATTACATCTATAAGGGGTTTTGATTCCCCATCTTACTGAAATTATTAAGAGATTTTGACAGGTGAGGGAGAAATTATTTGGGAAAGGGAAACTGCTCAGTGTTGCCTTGCATCTTCGGAGTCCATTCTGCCTTCTCATTTTATAGGTCGCCACTGAAGAATTATGGTTATATGCCCTTCTATACCCAGTGGTGGCTGCTACTTACAAAATTCAGAAGTATCACATCCACTTGTACAAGGAGAGGATAGAGAAAGTAGGAAACACTATACTATGATCTACAAACACCAGTAGATTCATTCATGTGCCAAGTCAGAAAAGTTTACTGTTATTTAAATTGCCATAAGGCTCACTGCTTGTGCTCCATCTGCTTGGCCGTAAGGGCAGGAGTTTCCTATAGATGTTTCAGCCAGAGTGTGGATTATTCTTACTGTCTGGAGTGTTTAAATTGATCATGGATGCTTTGGCTTATGCACCCAAATCATTCCTCAGGTAATCTTAAATGGCAGCTATCAGAAAACTCTTAGGTTTAATGACTAGTTGGCAAAACTAAGTCACTTAAGGGAAGATATTTCATGTCACCTATCTTCAGGAGAAACATTTTTCATAGTTGTAGTGTCAAGTTTAAAACAAATATATTTCTCAAGAAAGTAAGTTATTTCCTTACATGAACGCATCATTCACTGGTCTCTCAGCTCTCAGCATGACCTAACTTCAGCATGCTATGATGTTGAGTATTTTTACATTTCTAAATTTGCCACTGAGCTAGCCTGTGTTAGGTCTTTCATGGACCCAGAAAAGAATGCTTACATGAGATCCGTTTGTTCTCACCCAAAGAGGCACAATGAGTTATAGTTGAAAATTTGCTCAGCAGCTGGGAAGAGCCAAATCCATCTGCGTGTACTTCCATTGTTAAGAAACCAACCCCTGTCCTCTCAATAAGTGTGTGCTTTTATCTTTCCCTCCATAAGAAAGTCCTCTGGTGTTCATTATTGCTGCTGCTGAATTGCCAGCAGGGGAGAAAATAGTACTTTGGTGATGCAGAAGCTGAAACATAGTTAAAATTTTCATTACAAGCCTGATTTTCTTCCCAACCCCTCTGCAAAATACCTAATAAAAGTATCAATTTTTGCATGTGCAGTCTGCACCTAGCAGAATAGGCGTATGTTTGACTGAATAGCTAGGTGTCAATCAATTCAGTGATACTTAACTCCACAATTTTTACTACAAAACAAGCGTGGCATAGAAATCATAGATGACATTTAATAGAAAGGGCTTGGCAAGATGTTCACTGAAGCAAGGTTGAACTGTTGGAAGGTAGATTTTTAATATTAGCATGTCAGATGAAAGCCTGCTGATAAAGAAATAATTTTTGGAAAAAAAAACTAGCAATTCTCAAAGGCTTTCCCACCTTGCTGTGAGTTTCAGAATCTGCCTGTGGTTCACAGAAAGGTGAAGTACCTGGAGAAAGAAGCATGGAAGAAAGCAGCTCTAAAGTGCTGCCTGCATTTCTGTACTTCCTGAAAGTGACTTCCCAAATGCCAAATGGGTTCCTAGGAGCTGCACTGTCCAGGTGCCCAGAACACTTGTAAGAAATGTGCTTGGACAGAGCAAAAACTTCTCCATGGGTTTTCCAAACCATCATGGGCTTCATGGCTTCAAAGGGGAGAGAGCCTAGGATTCCCTTTCTTGCATGTCTGCAGATGCTGCCTTGCTCCCTTGTGTGTCTTAGCTGCCTGTTGCTCACTCCACTGTGACAGGTCAGAGGGAATGGTCAGAATGCAGAGTTTGGGACTCATATTAAAACCCTTGGCCCCTTAGAAGATCGAGGATAAGTGAAAACAGTGGGAGCCTTCTTAAGCTGCCCTCCATTCTCCAGTAGCAAGTGAATGTATTTCTGCTCCCCTTTGCTCTTCTAATAGCCTTCTCTGAGCCAGCTGTCCGACCATTCACGCTCTTCTCATCTTCTCTTTATTTTGTTTGTTCCAAATCTCACAGCAAGGGGACCAAGGCAGTAAAGCAGTCACCTCTTATGCTTTCTACATTTGTGGAGATTGGCAGGCACAGCAGTGTGTGCTTCAGCAGATTTCCCAACCACAAATGGGCAGAGGAGATGCACAATACTAAGGAGAGAGCGTTTCTGTGAATGTGCTGGTGGCAGCCACTGTGGAGATTGGACTGCAGGGCTGTAGCCTACATTCTAACTTGTGAATGAGCAATTAATAATTTCTGTTTTCAAGTCTTATTTTAAACCCAAATGATATATGTATATTCTAATATTTGCAATATGACCTGTGTGCGGCTGAGGAGTTTTTCAATGGATCAGTCTGCCAAATGAGGGCTAGACTATTACATGAGAGTTTGTTCTTTCTTTTGTCATATTACATTATCAAGCAGCCCTTGGATCTGCCGTCTGACCTTCCATTTGTAATTATGAGTTTAATTAGCAGTGACTTAACTTCCAGCTTCATTTCTTGTTAACAAGCAGACTACATGCTGTTCAGTAGAGCAAAGATATTCTTTAACCTGGGTTTAGGAGAGCTTGTCTGATAAGAGGTAAGAATCATGCAAGAAAAATTAGAACATAAAGGGTAGGCTATTTACAAATTCAAGAGTTGAAGATTTTATCAGATTGATCCTTAATATTTGTGCATTCTATGGATGCTCTTAGATACATCTGCTTTTATGTTCACTTTTATTTCATGATTTGGAGTTTCCTTATTTGTGTTTCAGCCCACAGATTTCACCTGTTTTGGTGACAGCTGAAGATCTACAGCAGCTTACTCAGGGTGATAAGTCAGGCACTTGGAAGACTTTGCTTTAAATCCTTTTTCTACCACAGACTTTGTTTAATCTTGGCAAGCTGAGCCTCTTCTCTGTCTCAGTTCCCTCTCTGTGTAACAGAGTAACTTATTTCATATCTTATATGGCATATTGTCACTTCAGCTGTTTTAAAGATGAAAAATGTTGGCTGGAAATGACCATATTATAATAACTCCATAGGAATCAAAAAAGTTAGATGTTCTGGATTGCATACTAAACAGAAGCAATCTCAAAATATTTTAAAAGAAAATTTGGAAAGTATTTTGAAGATGCCAGCTAGAAGGAAATGAA